TGCTTGCCTCCCAGCCTGGGAGGCTGCTGGCCCCGGGCTGCATCAGGGTAGCTCTGCAAGCCCGTGTGGCTGCTGGGAACGGCCTGTCGGTGTGCCAATTGCTTCAGCAACACACTAAGGCACCGACACAAAGAATCTTGTCTCCATAAGTCTGAGGTTATAAAAGTTTACAGATAGAAGTATAAATGTCTAACAGTGAGGCACAAACAGCCTTGCAATTGAAAACAAGCCCAGGGAGCGCCCGCCCATTCCAGCAAGCGGCAGGCTGAAGCCCGGACTTCTTGTCTTGGTGGCGAGCCAGTCACTGAAGGAGGCCCGCAGAGTCGTCAGCGTTCGTTGACCTTCCTGGAGGCCGGGCGGGAAGGAAGCAGGTAACAAACGAGCAAGGTGACAGGGCAGCTGGGGCAAGAGAAAGAGTTCTTGCAGGTACATTACACTGGACTTTTGTTCCTCTTCTTCCAGGTTATGTATGGCTTTGAAACTAAAGGACTCTTCACAAAAGATTTTCAGTGGGTTCCACGTGTGTAGACTTTTTATTTCTGTGGCCCCAATATGGATAGGCTCATGTGTAATTGTACATCTTTTGTACAATTGGTACAATTGTTAATGGTCTTGGTGAATGGTCTCTTTTGCTCCCTAATTGTTTGCCCGAGGTAATCATCTCAAAAAAAACAAAGAAGGAACTTTTGTTCTGTTTAAATATTCTTTTGCTCTTTTTAGGTGGCAAACTTGCGGCAGTTTGACAGCAGAGGACCCTCCCCATCCTGTTTTTCAGCTGTTACATTTCCCCCCCCAACCAATCAGGGAAAGAAAAGAAAGCCCACATGGCGATGCCTTCGGGAGTTTCTGTGCGTTGAAAAGGTGCATTCGCCCCTTCAGGATGCGGCTTTGGTTCTAGGCAAGGGCCCTCGGCGAGCCGAGCTGGGGTCCGCAGGCCAAAGTGCCCGAGCCGTCCTCTTACCGAGCTTGGGAACACCAGGCGCAGCCTAACTCCTCTCCTTGCACGTTTTCCTAGAGAAATCGCCACTGGGAACCATGCTGCGGCTGGCCCGGGCTCGGCTTGGCACCGTTTCCTCCTGCCAGCTCTTCCCAGCGCCTTCCCAGCAGCCTCATGCCCTCACTGGTGCAGGCAGGCTCCCTCCATGAAGACTCGGGTTCTGTCCTCTTTCTGCGCCCGGTACATGTTCATCAAGCCGCACCGGGCGACCGAGCAGGTTCATTTCCCCTGCCCGTGAGCCAGGCTCTCCGAGGCTCCTGCAACACGGGCCTGGTTCTGCCTGGAGTCTGAGGCCTCAGTCCCAGGGGCAAGGACTCTTGCCAGAACCTTCTCTAGGCAGACCAGGTGTGACTTAGCATACCAGATTGTGTGGAAGCTCAAGGGCTACTCTAATCAAAACTAAACTGTATCCTTCTTGAGAGAGGAAAGCTAGAGATCCTGCCAGGAAAGGCCTCTCAACAGGAGGGTGGGAAACGACCCCACCTTTTAACAGGCTTCAGGAGCAATAAGGTTCTCTTGATGATGGCAGTTGTCTGTGTTGCTCGGTGGGATTGAGTGGACTTCAATTATAGTACCATCACGTGACAGAGAATGTTGCTAGTACCTTGTTAACGTCCCCAAGTCTCCTCACGGTGCTGTTTTTCTCCAATGATAGTCAATAAGAATCAATGGCGGTGTGGGGGGTGGGGAGGGCAGGGGAGGAATTGTGCAGGGGTCCTCAAACTTTTTAAACAGGGGGCCAGTTCACTGTCCCTCAGATCCGTTGGAGGGCCGGACTGCAGTTTAAAAAAAAACTATGAACAAATTCCTCTGCACACTGCATATATCTTATTTTGAAGTAAAAAACACCTGGTGGGCCGGATAAATGTCCTTGGCGGGCCGCATGTGGCCCACGGGCCGTAGTTTGAGGATGCCTGTATAAAAAAATATGCAATATCCAGATGGGAAAAGAAGCGATCTCTATTTGTGAATGATATGACTACAGAGAAAAGCCCAAAGTGTTCACAAGAAAACTTCTAAAGTTAAGAGAGGAATTTATCAAAGTTACAGGGATAAATTCAATAAACAAAAATCATTTGAGTTTTTATCCACCAGCAATGAGAAATCTGAAGAGGAAATGCAGAAAACCATTCCGTGTACAATAACATTTAAGAGGTAAAACACTTAGGAATAAATGTAATGAAAGAAGCCAAGGCCTTAACAATGGGGATTCTAAAATACTACTGGAAGAATCATCAGTAAAAGGGAAGATGTTCCATGTCCACAGATAGGTCGACTTAATACTGTTAGGATGCTAATATGACCCAAAACAGCTTATAGATTCGACACAACCCAAATAGCTTTATTTTCAGAAATGGAAAAATTAATCCTAGATTATATATAGAATGGGCAGAGGCCCTCAATAGCTAAAACAATGTTAAAAGAGAAGGTCAAGGTGGGAAGATTCATACTCTGATGTTAAAGCATATTCAATACGGTGATAGTACTAAAAACAGCCTGATATTGGTATAACATTATACATGTAAATGGAATACAATTGGAAAAAAAATGGAATGCAATTGAGAGTCCAGATATAAACCCACACACCAATGGTCAATTGATTTTTGACAAGGGCTAAAGCTATGAGAAAAAAATAATCTCTTCAGTACGTGGTGCTGGGAAAATTGGATTGCCACATGTAAAAAAATGAAACAGGACCCAAGCCTCACCATACACATACACACACACACACACACACACACACACACTCAAAATAGATTAGAACCTAAATGTGCCACCTAAGACCATGGAACTCTTAGGAGAGTAAGCAAGGGCGATGCCGGGAGGCCTGGCATTTCATAATGGATTAACACAACAAAAGCAGAAGAAGCAAGCTATAAAATAAATAAAGGAGACCTCATACATTTAAAAAAAGAAACACTTTTATTTACCAAAGGACTTTACCAAAACAGTGAAAATATAAGCTACCAATTAAGAGAGTTTCAGAAACCATATATCTGATAAGACATTAATAACAAAAGATATATTAAAACTCTGACAAAAACAGACACAAGATGGGCAGAGGGCTTGAATAGACCCCTCACCAGAGAGGACATTCAAGTGGCCACCACACACATGGAAAGATGCTCAGCACCATTAGCCATCAGAGAGATGAATCAAAACCATCACGACAGACCATTTCCCTCCTGCTAGGATGGCTGAGATGAAAAAGGAGGACAACAAATGGCAAGGAGGTGGGAAAAGTGGAACTCTTCCCATTGCTGGTGGGACTATAGAATGGTATTGTTGTGGAAAACAGTGAGTGTGGTCGTTCCCCCCACCCCCCAAAAAGAAAAAAAGTCACTACAGATAGTACTATAGACCCAACGACTACATTCCTAAATATATACCCCAAAGACTTGAAAAAGAATTTCATGTCACCTTGATAAAAAAGTGTAGGGGAGGAGTCTAGCCTGTCAATCATGTCACAGCCTGATGATACCTCCTTGTGGGTGTGGTCTTCTCATGAGGATTCTGGGAACTTCCTCTGGGAACTTCCTCTTTCTCCCTGGAATTTGGCCACACACTCTCTACCTCACATTCCTGTTGACAAGACATGTGGAGCTACACTGAGGCCTGAGCGAGTGATGCGGCAGAGACCTGTGCCAGCCCTGTGATGCTTCCACTGCCATTGAACCCACAAGACTTTTCACCCACTGGGCTGCGATCTTCCTGCATTCTGCATCATTGCATGTGGCTGTGTGAGTCTGAAGAGAGAATTATGGACTAGTATCGGACTTACGGGTTAATATCAGACTTATGGACTTGTTCTGGACTGGAATGGGATGTTTTCTTGATCTACAATTACTCTTTGATATAAAGCTCTTATACATATATGAGTGTCTCTGAATGCGTTTCTCTAGTCAACCCGGTCTAATGCAGACCTGTACACCTGTAGTGAAGTGACATTACTTGCTGATGGCTCTTCTATCTATGTCTCTGAAATTCCTACCAAATGATTGGGATCATGCAAATAGGGTGTGTGAAAAGAATCTTGGTCAGTTTGTTATTCCACGGGGCATATAAGAGTGAGATATCTCAGAAGCAGCGGATGCATCCCATGACCATTTAAAAAGAAGAGCCACCAATGGAGAGCGTGTGAGATGACGACCTGATGTGGTGCAGGCAGCAGAGGTACCAGAGACTGCAGCAACCAAGAGTATGAGGCAAAGGAGCCATGCTGAGACCATGCAGCAAAGCAGAGAAAGAGCAATTAAGATCGTAAGGCAGAGCGGTGATCTTCTGGGCCCACAGAACAAGGCAGAAGCCAAGGGACCTCATGGCTGCTGGCTGAGAAGAGGTCTTGCTGTGGACAAAATAATGTATGCACCCTTAATGTTTTCTGATCCTGACTTGTGGTAACGTGTTAAGTTTCTCTATTAAGCCCCTGTCCTCACGGTTATTGTCTGTTTAGTTCTGTGCTTAGGGAGCCCAGCAGAGAAGCAGAGAACCCTGGGAGGAATGGTTGGTGTCAGGATAGGGTAAAAGAAAGATGAAGGGTAGAAGCATGTCTGACATCTGCATTGTGGAGTTGGCCTTGGGCTGCAGTAGCACTGGATTCTCCTCCCTATTGATGCCAAAGGTCAGACGTGGCCCCATACCAATGTTCATTGCAGTAACTTAAAGGTAGAAATAACCTCCATGCCCATCAACAGGTGAATGAATAAGCAATACACAGATACATACCATGGAACGCTACTCAGGCACAGGCAGAAATGAAGTCTTGATGCATGCTACAGTATGGAGCTGGAAGACAGTATATTGAGTGAAGAAAGTAAATCACAGAAGGACATATAGAATCTGACCTCATTTATGTAAAAAGATAAGAAAAGGCAGATGGAAAGAGATCAGAGTTGATTAATGGTTACCAGGGATGAGAGGAAGGAGAAGGGGCGTAACAGTGATGGAAGAGCACATGGATTAAGGGAAGGGCTGCACAGCCAATTATGATCATTGCCGTCAGTAAGTTATACAACTGTACAGAGTTGAATTGGCATTGTGTGATAGACCTTTTTCAACGGGAGTAGCCGCTGACCCTAATTATGTACGACCCCAAACTTCATAGGCTTAGTGTCTTGGTTCGATGGCTTAGAGGCATGACTTCATGTGAGATCCCAGTTAATTGGCCTAAGTGCTTAGGTTCCACCTCTGAGTGCCTTGGGTCTGACCAAGCTTGCAAGCACCCCTACAAGGCACGATGATCATTTTGATTAGCCTGCAGCAAGAGGACCGAGGCAGGAATAGGAGGGAGAAAAGGAGTGTGTGGTTAGTTGTCTCTTAACAAAACTGCCTGCTTTGCTACCAGACTGGAAGGACTGGATGGGGCCTGGAGACCATTACTGACCATTTTCAGCACAGATTCCATAAACGCATCTTGGACCACTCAGATACGATGAAATCAAACCTTCACTGTAATGAGTCTACTTCTCTATGACTACTTCAGCATGGCCTTGAGGCTGCTCGACTCTACGGGAAGGCAGGTAACTCCGTGTGCTTACCATCCCTGCTTTAAAAAAACAAAGCCAAACCCACAAGCTTCATATTTTTGTCAAACTCAGAAAACCCAAACCCTGAATGCTGAATCAGTGCTTCAGCAGGAATGGAAGGGCACAGGTTGCAGATGGCAAATTACGTATTGCAATCTGAGAGGCTCTTCGTTGCGGGTACAAAATGCGACCATCTTCCCTTCCTTCCTTTGTCCATCTGCTGCTGCTAATGGTCTACAGGGTGGGCTGGGGTGATGGTAGACATTTAAATCTGTATTGCCTGTGAGCTGATTTCTCAAGCTGTATTTCACATGCTTTGGCAACATATACTCCCATCCTGCTTAAGGCAGCCAGGAAAGAGATGTTGTGACGCCCACCCTCTCCCTGCCTGAGCTTTCTGCATTTGTCTGTAAGCGGTCCCATGGTGGCAAAAATGAAGTGCACTCACCTTAGAAGCTAAAGGTCGGTGGTTTGAACCCACCCGTCAGCACCATGGAAAATGGCTTGGTGAGCTCTTTCCAAACTCGGCTCTCAAAACCCTCAGGAGAGTTCAACTCTGTAATCTAGGGGGTCCGGGAGTCGGCATCAACTTGGAAGCAGTGAGTCTGTTTTTAAGTGTATGCAACCTTTTATAAGGTTTGCTTTCACACACATAAAACGGTCGTGATGATGGTGAATGGATTATGTAGTGAGCTAATTAATGTCCTGGGTTGTGTTTTGTAGGCAAAGAAGGGGGAACAAAGGCAGTTCGGAGAGTGAAGAAGTGACAACTGTCAGTAAGAAGCGCTCCACGCGACTCCTGGGTTCTCTGGTTCACTGAGGTGTGTCAGTCCGTCTGCAGAACTAGACGTCCTTGTCTTTGGCTGCCGTTGAGTTGGGCTGTGACTCAGCCAGCAGAACAAGGTGCTGCCTGGCTTGTGCCACGCCCACGTCAATTGTGGAGGGGGTAATTAGGACCCATAGGTTTCCATGGACTGATTGTTCAGAAGTAGATTGCCAGGCCTTTCTTCCGATTGTTAAAACCTGTTCACCATCCTAACGGCAGGCAATCGATCCTCTGGCAAAAGGATGCTGGCCACACATGCCCAGGAATGGGATCTGGGCCTCCTGCACGGAAGGCGGGCATCCCATCACTGGCTCATCCCAGCGCCTCTTCCAGAACCACAAACCCTCACTGAGGTTGGCACCCTCAGGACTCCTAGCATAGCACAGGGCACAGACCGGTGGTTCCACCTGAGAGATCCCGACTGACCCAGCTGAACAGTGAGATGGGGCATCTGGGCACTGTCGTGCGTGCCCCCTCCACACATCCCACACACACACTGTGGAGCCGATAGTGTAATACTGGTCACCGGGTCTTTCAGTCTTGTGGCAAAGCAGGCGGCTGTTCAGCGACAAGAAGTAGGTGGCTCCTTCTTAGCATAGAGGATTCCTTCTTATTGTTTATGAACCTGACCTATCATTTAGGCTCTGGAATAAGAATTCCAGAGACTTGGCGTTAGGGAGGGGAGGTCTTTGAAGCAGACCTCATTTCCCTCCTCTTGGCTGGTGACTAACCTGCCTTTGTATAAACATGGCCACTGGGCAGCTCTTCAGACAGCTAATGGTAAGTTCCTGTGTTTCCCTAAATCTTTTTTTTTTTTTTACTCTCCTAATTATGATAATTGTCCATTTGAGGCTCTATGATGCCATTTCAATATCCTCCCCCTGAATGTACCCGGGCTTGGCGATGCGTCTTCTACACCGTCTTCCTCAGAGGGCAGAGACTGGCCCACGGCTCTCTTCCATAACAGCCAGTGGACGCACTACTTCATGGCGGGTTGTTAGACTGCTGACACCTTTTGGACACCCTGCAGACAGTGCTAGACTAAGGGGCCCTCGTGCATGCGCAGTGGGCTGCTGACCCACCCCGTGACCCTGTGAGAGTGAGACTCGGCGATCTGCTTCTATCGAGACTCTAGCCTCGTGAAACCAAAGGGGCAGTTCTACTCTGTCAACATGGTGTCACCATGACATGGCACCAGCTCAGCGGCTCCCAAGAACACAACCACAACAGCTCTGTCCTAGTCACCCCTACTCACTCAGTGGGCTGGACAGGATGGCATTTATTACACCTTTTTGTACACCCTGTTGTTGAGTCTCTTCGGTTCTACGGCACCGTACAGGATAGGGTAGACTCTCCCACAGTGTTTCCAAGCCAACTGCCACACCTCTCTCCTCTGGAGTGGTAGGTGGGTACGGATTGCCCATCGTTTGTTTAGCCCCTGAGCACTTAACCACTGCGCCACCAAGGCTGTTTACACTTATTATAAACCCATGGCCATCACAGTGACTCCGTATAGGGTTGTTGTGACTGTGAATCTTTATGGAGTAAACAGTTCACCTTTCTCCCAAGTACATTCACTAGTGTTGTTTCAACCCATAGGGACTGTGCACAGCAGAACGAAACACTGCCCGGTCCTGGCCATCCTCACAATTGGTCCTGTGCTGGAGCCCATGGCTGCAGCCAGGGTGTCCATCCATCTCATTGAGGGCTTCCTCTTTCTTGCTTTCCTTCTACTTTACCAAGCTTGCCGTCTTTCTCCAGGGACTGGTCTCTGCTGACATGTCCAAAGTCTGTACGACGAAGCCCTGCCATCCTTGCTTCTAAGGAGCACTCTGGTCACACCTCTCCCAAGACAGATTGGTTTGTCCTTTTAGCAGTCCATGGTACTGTCAATATTCTTCTCCAGCACCACGATCCAAATGCACCCATTCGTCTTCAGTCTTCCTGATTCGTGTCCAACTTTCATGTGCAAACGGGGCAATGGAAAATACCATGGCTTGGATCAGGCACACCTTCGTCCTCAAAGTAACAGCCTTGCTTCTCAATACTCTAAAGAGGTCTTGTGCAGTAGATTTACTTAATGTAACTTGTCTTTTGATCTCTTGACTGCTGCTTCCATAGCATTGATTGTGGATACAAGCCAGATACAATTTTTGACAACGTCCACTTTTTCTCCATATGTCATGATGTTACCTGTTGTGAGGGTTCTAGTCTTCTCCACTTTGAGTTGTAATGCATACTGAGGGCTTCAATCCTTGGATCTTCACCAGCAGTTGCTTCAAGTCCTCCTCAGTTGCAGCAAGCAAGGTTGTGTCATTTTTGTTAATAAACCTTCCTCCAGTGCTTCTTCATATAATCCAGCTTCTCTGATGATTTGTTCAGCATACAGATTGAACAAGTAGGGTGAGAGAATACAACCCCGATATACAATTTCCTGATTTGAAACCAATGCAGTCTTCTCTTCTGTTCCCCCAACTACCCCATGATCCATGTATACGCTCCTCGTGAACCCAATCAAGTGTTCTGGAATTCCCATTCTTCTCAAGGCCATCCATAGTTTGTTCTGACCCACACAGTCGAATGCCTTGGCATAGTCAATAAAACAAAAGTAAACGCCTTTCTGGTATTCTCTGCTTTCAGCCAAGATCCCTCTGACACGAGCAACGATATTCTACTTCCTCTTCTGAATCTGCTGGTTTTCTCTCAGCTCCCGGTCGGTGTACTGCTGCAACTGTCGCTGGATAACCTTCAGCAAAATTCTACTTGCATGTGATATGTCAACGATAATGTTCTATGATTTGAGCACTCTGTTGGGTCAGCTTCCTTTGGAATGTCCTTCCTTTTTGGTTTTCTAACTCTAAATAATATGATTTACTAAGCCAGGAATGACATGATCAAGAGGAATGGTGTGGCATTTATTGTTAAAAAGGAACATTGCAAAATCAATCTTGAAGTACAATCCTGTCTGTGATAGGATTATATCTATTCTCCTTCAAGAAAACCCAATCAATACAACTATCATTCAAATTCATGCAACAACCACAATGCTAGTGATGAAGAAATTGAGGTTTCTACCAATATCTTCAGTTGGAAATAGATAAAAAAATGTAATCAAGATGCATTGATAATTATTTGTGATTGGAATGCAAAAGTTGGAAATGAAGAGGAAGGAACAGCAGTTAGAAACAAAACTGGTGAACCCATAATAAAATTTTGCAAGACCAATGACCTGTTCATAGCAAATACCATTTTTCAACAACACAAAACATACGTAGACTTCTCCAAAAGGGATACACACAAATAAAATTGTAGTCTGTAGGAAGAGATGCTGGAGAAGCTCAATACCAGCAGCTAAAACCAAGCCAGGGGCTGACAATGGAACAGACCAGTAAATACCTGTATGTTAATTCATGTTAAACCTGAAAAAAATTAAGTTCACAAGAGACAAAATACAACCTTGAGTCTATCCCACCTGAATTTTGAGACATCTCGAGAACAGACTTGATGCCTTACGCACTATTGCTAGAAGACCTGATGCGTTGTGGGAGGACATCGAGACCATCGTTCACGAAGAAAGCAAAAGGTCATTGAAAACAAAAAAGAACACATCAAAATGGATGTCAGAAGAGACTCTAAAACTTGTTTTTAATTGTAGAGAAGCTAAGGAAGAAAGGATGAAGGCAAAGAGCTGAACAGAAAATGTCAAAGGGCAGCTCAAGAGGACAAGGTCAAATATTCTAACGTAACGTGCAAAGACCTAGCATTCGAAAACCAAAAAGCAAGAACATGGTCAACACACCTTAAATGGGAAGAATTGAAGAAAAAAAATTCAAGTCTCAGCTCAAGCAGAAAGCAAATGTTTTGAGAATGATGATGGCAACAAATGTACAAATGTGCTTGACGCAATGGATGGATGGATGGATGGATGGATGATAAGAGTTGTCTGAGCCCCCATAAAATGATTTAATAAAATTCAAGTCTCAGTTGCAATATTGAAAGATCCTGTGGGCACAATATTGAATGATGCAGGAAGCATCAAAAGGAGACGGAAAGAATCCACCGTCACGGAACCAAAAAGAGCTAGTCGACATGCCACCATTGCAGGAGGTAGCATATGAGCAAGAATCAGTGGTGCTGAAGGAAGAAGTCTAAGCTGCACTCAATGGATGCGCCAAAAACAAGGCTCCAGGAAATAATGGACTAACCATTGAAATGTTTCAACCAGCTGCCGAAGCTTTGGAAGCATGCATTCATCTATACCAGGACATTTGGAAGACGGCTACTTGGTCAACTGACTGGAAGAGATCCCTATTTGTACCCATTTCAACTCCCTCATACCTAGGACAGTGATCTTTATGTGTTCCAATTCATTTTGGACGACTTCCAGTTTCCTTGAATCATACTTCCCTCGTTCCACGTTTGGAGGGTTAGCAGATTGATGCAGCTGTTTCTTGGGGCCCCATCAGCACATGAGGTTTCCCAACCTTTATCCAACTCCCCTCACCCTGGTTCACTCCCTCTGAGGAATCACATTCGACTGCCCTCCGACCCGAGGGACTCATCCTTCGGCACTGGCTCCGACACGCTTCTGCTTCCGCTCACGAGGCCTTCAGTATTTGATTATGGCCTCCTTCCCCCAAAGTGGGGAGCCCAGTCCTCTTTCATTGTCTGGTTTTGGTCTAGAAGCTCTGCTGAAACCTGTTCACTTTGGGTGACCCTGCTGGCCTTTGAAAAACCGGTGACACAGCTTCCAGCCTCACAGCTATCCACAAGACAAACGGACAGAAGAGCGGTGGGGAAAGGAGCAGTAGCGGATATTAAAGCCCTGGAGCTTTGAGTACTTAACCCAGTTAACACAGAGAAGGGCAAGTCAGCGATACCGCGTGGAAAATAGTATTTGTAATCATTTTTGTTGTATTGCTCATTTATAAATAAGTAGCTATGGGCATAAGGTGTGCCTTTCAACATTTAGCCATGTATTTCTCTGCTCTTCTG